ACACCGAATTCCAAACACTCACACCGAATTCCAAACACTCACACCGAATTCCAAACAATCAGGATGCTTTGCGGCCAACCTGATTATTGGAATCAGAAATCAGGAATTGTACAAGAGGAATCTTAGATTCCTGTTTCAGAAATCAGAAAACTTACTTTTCGGCACTGCCTAGGTATATTGCATAGGCGAAAATACAAATTTGAAGGAGAGAATGCAGGATTTTGTTGTTAAACTTCCGCAAAGACAAACTTTGAACCGTGATCCCCTGGGTAGTATATTACTGTAAAATTGTGCCAAACTGATAAATTCAAACTTAGCTAAAAAGATCTCAGTTGTTCTGTAAGTGATTACGAAAAAAATGTCTAAGACGAAATTAGAAAGATTCTCGATACTGGAGGATTCTTACGGGACGTGGAAAGATATTTAAAAGAGAGTTATCCTAACAAAAAGTATAACTTTTTCATTTGGTTGGTAATCACGTGACATATATTCCAATATATGTCTGGGGAGAATCACGGTTTAATGTTTGTCTTAGCGGAAGTTCAACAACAGGGACAACTATTGGACTAGGGGTGGGGTGGGGTGGGGTGATAGAGCGCAGATAATGATACCGGAAGTAAGAGCATTTTCGAGTGGTTATCCCTCCCCTACACGTGGTGTTTTGTCGTATGTCAGCGAGATTTTGATTTCTGATTCGTGATTCAGAAAACAGAAATGCGATTTCTGATTCGGGAAACGGAAATCCAAAATCCTGCATTCTCTCCTTCAAACTTGTATTTTCGCCCATGCAATATACCTAGGCAGTGCCGAAAAGTAAGTTTTCTGATTTCTGAAACAGGAATCTAAGATAACTCTTGTACAATTCCTGATTTCTGATTCCAATAATCAGGTTGGCCGCAAAGTATCCTGATTGTTTGGAATTCGGTGTGAGTGTTTGGAATTCGGTGTGAGTGTTTGGAATTCGGTGTGAGTGTTTGGAATTCGGTGTGAGTGTTTGGAATTCGGTGTGAGTGTTTGGAATTGGGTGCGAGCGTTTGGAATTCGGTGTGGAGTTTGGAATTCGATGTGCACTTGTGGGCCACCGTACTATAGTGCTGCCATTCCTGCTGCCATACAACCTGTGAAAAACCTGATGAAAAACCGTGTCCGCTCAGAGCGGCGCCAGGATAATGGTGAAGTTAATTGTGCTACATCGCAATACTCCATTTTCAAGTCCGTCAGTAACACCACAGGAAGCCCAAACTGATGAATGGATAAACTTCGGAACCAATCATTAAACTTCGGAGCCAATCAGGGATAAGCGACTCACGTTCTCCATTATCGATAAACTACGGAACCAATCATAGCTTGAATAACAAAATCTCGGTATTTCCGAATTGTAACCGATGTAGGGATGACGCATTTTTAAAAGCAGGATTGTYATCTTGGACTGTCTTCGTTCTTCGCTGCTCAAGACTTCAAGTAAGTAAAGTGCTTTCGTAAAATCTATCAATATCATTTATCACAGGTTTCATGTAGTATTACTATACAATAAGATAAAAGGTTTTGTAAGTGTTATTCCAATTTTAGGCCGATGTTTTTGCCGAAAACAAAGCTGCCTGACTTCAAACAGGGCTTCACTGTTTTAGTGCTTACATCGCTGATAAGTTTAAATGCATAAATATTTAGCATACGTCAATATCATAAACTTATTGTTATTTGTATTGCTGTTCAGTTGAGTTTTCTTAGTAAAGTTCTTTCAACATTTTCTGTTTTGTGTATTTGTATCCTTTGATATTTAACATAAGTCACTTCAGTTTGGAATTTTTCAAATTTAAGTGACATTGCTTAAACTTGTCATATTTATTTCAAAACTGTTATAAATTCAACGTTTACATTGCCCATCGGTGGGAACGCACGATTCTATTATCACGACACACATTGCATACCTGCACTTTTTATTTCCTCATTCCTGTCAAAAACTAATAGTTGTTCTGACTTTTATCTCATAAAACAAATGCGAAGCTTGCTTGAAACAAAACCAAGATCTACCTATATAACCTAGCATTTGAACTCAATGCTGTTTCATATTTTAATATTATCCAGATATGTGAATCTGACCGACACAAAATCGAATTAAACTGTATTCACATCATACCAATTTTCTATTACAGCGAACTTAGTGAGAAAAGTTAATTACACATACAACTTCCATAATCATCACTTCTTTTCTAATTTTCATCGATTATGGACCTCTTTCAAAGTCTACATCTTACAATAACTCACAAATTTCTCGCTCGCTGTTTAGTTGATTTTTCTTATCAATAAAGAAGACAGACAGATGTAGCTGTGGTCATCAAACAGACTCTTTCCGTTAGTTAAAAGGAGAAGTTTTTATAGTTTTTCTGGTTTTTGCTAATATTCTAAAAAACAATATCAGATCAGATTTTTGTCTCTATATCCTTTTATTACCATTGTTTGCCTTATCACATTGTCAAACTAATATGGGGATCCACCTGGCTATGTCTCGACCAATATATATCTCTCTAAAATCTTTCTTTATGTATAATCAGGGCAGTAATATTATAAATATCGTTTTATTTACTTTCTTTCCCTGGTCATATCTAATATGTAAAACCTCTGATTTTTAAGGGGTACTTGAATGAAAACTTGAATGATTCAATTACTATTATGAAAGCCAGATTGACACAAATATTTGCTTCGGAACCACTTGAAGTTGAGAAACTTTGGTTTAAAAACTAAAAGAACAATAGGGTTGAGTAAATGACTTCATTTACTCTCAACTTCGATGCTGATTCTGAAGAAAATATGTGCCTTGGCTACTGTTGGAGACATATGAATAAGTTTAACCAACTTCCAAGTCGTTTCCAAAATCAGGGTGTTTTCATCTAAGTGCCCCTTTAAACAATCCGTTTCTAAATTGGCAGTAGACACATGCGGTTTACGACCGCCTATTTTTTGATTGGTTACCCCCCAAAGACGCAAGGCATTGTGGGGATGTGAAAGTAGAGAATAAATGAATTACTAAACTGCCTCATCAATACTAAGGTTAAATTATTTGGGGACGACACAGCACTTTACTGCTCAAAATCAGCATTGCAGCCACAGCTAAGGCTTTTAAATGAGGATCTTGGCACAGACTTGAATCATGGCTTGCGGACCATAAACTTAACCTGAATATCAGTAAATCGAAATCTTATGCTAATTGGAGGATGGAAGAGACTCAAATCCTTTGCTCAAGTAACTGTAAACATTCGCCTCATTTTTTACTTATAAAGGGTTAAATGCACTCTTAGACTGAAATTTTCAGTCGTTTTTGCCTAATTTCGCCTCAACCGTTCTCTCGAACTCGGCTACTTTTCGCAGTCACTGTCTGTATGTATTAGATTTTTGACTGCTTTGGATTAGAATCTTTGCTGAGATGCTGGGCTGAATATCTTGCTGAGCCTCTGGACTAGAATCTCTCCTTCGCTCCCTCTCACCCTGGGAGTTTTTCTATAGCAGATTTCTCGAAACTCTTTCAACATGCTGGCTTTTTCAAATACGTCGATAAAGTGGCTTTGCTGCCATGATGTACTAGTAAAATGCGCGTTTACAGGTCATCAAAGAAAAGCACAATCTTGATGTCGCTGGAATGATGTGTGGATCACCTATTTATATGATGTAAAGGATTGTGGGATATCTATTGTTATGTTA